TTTTCCTGTTGCTTTTCACATAAAATAATTTAAGAATGGCTTCAGTCGGTACCAAGTGTGGACCAAAATATCATCAAATCCCACTCTTCCAGCAACACAGAAACTCTCAAAAATTCAGCTGGCTGAGATACAGCTTGGAGAAGGAGCACGCCCGCAGTAACTGACCCCAAAATCCCACTTCTTGCAACTTCAGGGATTATTTTTCATATAATATCCACCTATTCGCTAGCTAAATCTGACCCTGCTTAGCTTACGGCTGCACCCAGAGATGGCTTTTCTCCAGACAGCTTCAGTGGCCTATTTACTACCCCTTTTGTTAATAGTGTGGCTGCTTTGCCTCCACTTTGAAGGTTCATTCTCATGTGCAGGATTTATTTTTTTTTATTTGCTCTGGTTGCTAAGGGGGAAGTTTTAGCATAGTGGGCAAGGATTTAGTCACATGTGAGCTACAGGGAGCATTATCCTTAGAGATTAATTTGGAAATCAAGTGACAATCAGCTGGGTATGTGTTTATTTTCTATTTCTTGAAAGCTTTCGAAATACCACAGGATGTTCACGTCCTCTGAAGGAGATCATCTATTCTTCTTCTATGTTATTCAGCCTCAGACAGAACAAAGAGAATATCGTGCTTGTCTCCAGTGTCAGAGATAAAATTAGTAATTTCACTGCAAATCAGAAAACAAACTAGATTACTATGAAGAACAGCTCTACAATCATCAAAAGGTTGCTTCACAACCGCCTTTCAGATGTACTAAAGGCAGCTGCCTCACTGTGAAGTTAATTCAGTAAGCAGAGGGAACGTAATTCATTTGGTGCGTACTGTTTGCTAATCAAAGAGTATTTCTTGGCATCTAAACTGTGCGTGACAGCATGTTAAGCCTGAAAACATATTGTTAGTCCTCTAAGTTTTTCATCAAATCCAAGAAACATTATGTGCACGCATGTGAGCGATTCTTCTCATTCAAGCAATGAAGATGAAAGCCTCATAAAGTTTCGTTATGCTGAGCCATGGTCCTAGGAAGAGCTTATGAGAAATGGCTTTTCCCTCTTGTATTTGTGCAGGACAGAAAGCTCGATGACTTGATAATTTCTCCTTCTTTCAAATTATTGTCCCACTATGCATTACCTGTGATGACCGCAGCAAACACTGTGAACAAGCATTATCAGTAAAAAACAGCCCTGGTCTGAGGAGCATGAAACTGTTTTTTTACAATCAAGGTTATGGTGGGCCTCCCATCTTCCATATCCATGCTGTGGGGAACAGGTTGAGGAATACTACCACTTTTCCTTCAGAAATACATCGCCTTAAAAGACTGCTCTACGTCAGTTTGAACATGTGGACCTCCACCACCACAAGCAGGCGCGATAAAAAGCTATTAAACCAGCCATACTGGCTACAGAGGAATATTTCACTGTGCTTTTTCACAACACGAGCTACAAAGCAGCAGAAAGGAGCATGGATTGTGGCACAGTGCCTGCTTGCAGTCTTCCTCGTCTGACAGATGCTACAACTGAGAGAAACCAGCTTCTCCCTCTAAGGTGGCCACTGCACTTCAAATCGTAAATAATTTCATGACTAACAAACAACTTCAGAGATCAAAACCTGTTATGTTTTACTGGATCCAAAAGGATCTAAAATTTGCTCTATTTTAATTAAGTCAGTACATAAATGAAAATGGCCACTGTACAGATGTGGGGAGAGACAACTACGGGTTCTATTTGAAAATTCCAAAGGAACATTTCTTGAATGCAATATTTCATTTAAGAGAAAAAAAAAAACAACACCAAAAAAACACCACACCAGAATTATTTGAAAAATTCAAACTTATTCCACATTTGAAGTAGATCTTTCAAAATTCAATGTGAGGGAAAAAACCCAGATAAGTGTGGTTACGAAACTGCTGCCAAAAGCAAGATACTGCATTTTTAATGCAAAGCTCTTGGCCAGCATTTATTAATAAGCAGAAAATAGTATAAAATATACAAATCTATGCAGCAAGTGGCAACAAAAGCACATATGTTATCCACCTGGACATAATAGTGGGATTTGATCTGTGTATTTATACTGAAAAGGAGAGAATAATCTTTTTACAAAAAATTATGAGACGGTTCAAAGTAGAAAACAGCACCGCTGGGATATATGCCCTGACTCCTTTAGTATGGATTGCAGACTTTTAAGTTACTGAGACATTAATGCAGTGAGATTGAAAAGAATTCTGTAAATTCTACTAATTGTGCTGCAGCCTTTAATTGCTCATCTATTTGTATTTTAACAGAATCATCATCAAATGAAGAACAGTTCTGAGTATATTTGGTGTTTACTTTTCAATCAGTTAACTCAATATACAAGCTCAGTTTCTATGTAGATTAACACACGTGCTAAGCCTGTGTCTTCCTGCAGTGCGTTTTTGAAATAAAAATACATACAAATAAAAATTCAAAATGAGATGGCACACTTGGAAGACTAAATACTAGCTTTGGAGATAATTTTAAAGGTCAATGTCTTTTGCAATGGTTAAGAGAGTTACGTAAAGAAGGAAAGAAGTATTCATGCAGCAGACATGATTACACACTTGTGGCTCATGTGAAAAATCTCGGTGGCAATTTGGAAAAACAACATTTCCAGGTATTCCAGCCCAATTATTTACTGATATTTCAAGTTAGTTATCATCTCAAAATTTGCTATAGAGAAAGGCATACTAGGAGTTCAAAGGTTCAAGTCATTCAGAGCTCAGCCAAACAAACTCAGAATCCATTTGAAGTTTTTATTTTTCCAAACAGCTTCAAGGAAGTACATTATGAGTCAGAGAAGAAGAAAAGGTTTTTTTAATGGCTATTTTATTTATGCAGCAAGTTTTAAGAAGAACCTGGTAGTTTCTTGGCTTCGCTACTTCATGTTCTAAAGAACACTCTCTCTAAAGAACTCATGTTCTAAAGAATTCCTGAACAACAAGGTGAGTGTTTAACAGTAAAATCCATCAACAAAACAGTATTTCAGTACAGAGAAGTGCTCTTCAGACTCAGCAGAAAGGGAGATCCCCAGTCCAACAGAGCCTATAAAAACATATGCGGAGGATATACAAACAGCTGCAAGTGCAGTCACACAACCACTTCTGAATCATATCCCCCACTGCTCACAAAACCTTCTGTGTCAGTGTTTTACCATTTCAGGTAAAGTTTTTCCCTGTTTTTTTCAAGTTAACAGTTGCTTGGGAAAGTTGCCATAGAAATGGCTCAACATTTCTCAAAAACAAGGCACATTTTCTTAGCAGGTTGTAGTGTCACAGGCACTGCGTCATTCATCTCACAGAAGGGGACAGTGTTCCCAATAGACCTTCCTGGCAGAGGTACATCCATGCAGAGAGCAGAATGCTAGCAGCCATGATGCCCATTATAAATTTTTTACACTCTGCAACCCTTCCTTTTTTAATTTTTTTTTTTTTTTTTAAGGGGGGAAAAATAGCTCTTGTGTCTTGGCATTAAATTTCAGGTTTCTTACCAAGTTGTCAAGAACACAGTCACACATGTATGCCTTTAAGCTGAAAATTAGATGTGATTTATCAAAAAGTCAGAATGGTATAAATAATGCATGTCTTGCACAGATGGCTTTTTTTGTAATGTAACAACTAATGGCCTGTAAACACAGTATTCCATGTACAGAACCTCTGCAATGGTCTGTAATCTCTCTCCTGTATGATAGATGAAGGCCTATTAGGAGGCAAATTTGATATAATGTGTGATGATATGCAGAGATGTTATGGTTTGGGCTGCACTGTCCACTAAACAAATGACAGAGGCTCTCTAACTTCCTCTGGGGGGCGGTGGGGAGACTTCTGGGCTGAAAAGAAACTAAACTGCTTTAATGAAATATTAATAATAGAACGAAAATATAGTATTAATAAGAAAATAATGAAATATATACAATATATACAAAACTGCATCAAGCTCCCAGGATAACAATGACAACACTGGGAGGCAGTGCCAAAGTCCCAGACTGGGCTCAGTGACGGACGAGAACTAGATTCTGGATCTGGATTCAGGATCGGGATCAAAGGCAGATGAACAGTCAGAGTCCTCCTGGGACAGCGGCCACTGAAGAAAGAGGGCTGACCCTTTGATCCCTCAGCTTTTATACTGAGCATGAGGCAGATGGGATGGAATACCCCGTTGGTCAGTTTTGGGTCACCGGTCCTGTCCGCTCCTCCCCGCAGGTGGGACGCCTCTATGCTCTTCTGCTTCTGACCCTCCAGTGCGGCAAGTAACAAAGTTGGTTGGCCTTGGGTGTTATAGCAATAAATGTAAGCAAGAGCCTCTCCACATACCATTCCTTGGTATTAACTACAAACATCAGGCCTTATCTGCTAGAAGTGGACTACTCTCTGAAAAATATGCTGTTACTTTCAGAGAATGCCACTAGTTAGAGGAGACTTAACTGAAAAGTAAGAGTACTGAAAGGAAAACTGGTTCTGTTTTACCTCAAACCAGCACAAGAGAGAAAAGCCATGCATCTTTAAGGTGTATAAAGGTAGTTAGGGATGTAAATTCTGCACTGTCAGGCTTTGCTGATGAGCCAAAATGAAAAAAATATTTACCCGATACCCGAAGCCTGATGCATAAATAAAAACTTAAATGATCTAGATCATAAAGACCGATTTGTCCACATCCAGTAAGGAAATCCAAGGCAAGACCTTCACTGCTTATGGTAAGAAACCACATTTTAAAAACAAAACAAATGCAAAAACTTGCATTCAGAAAGGAAAAAGGCTAAGCTAATCCCATAAGATCTCATTAGGCTTTAGTGCCGGATTTTCTTTCAAGATGCAAAAGCTTCTCCCTTACTGTTTCTCTTTAAATGTTTTAGGATTATGCCAAAGTTCTGACTAACCCACAGTAGCATGGGAAACACATCTGCAGGAGTTTCTTTAAAAGGAATTAGAAAAGCAGGATTACCAACACACACATTCAACACAGTCAGCACACGTTACCCACCAGAAACTTACCTTTCTGTGATCGTTTCTCTGAGACCACTAGCAACCCCTTTCACCACCGTACTAGCCTTTGGTGTCAGCACTACTTGAGATATAAAAAAGGAGCCCTTCTTTCTTCTTTCGGTGATTGATGCTTGGAGGAATTGAATCAGTTTTTCCGGATCTGTTGTGTTTGCCCAGGGAGCTGGCATCATCTGGCCTGGCCAAAGAAATGGTACCTCAAGAGCCACTGGACTGTGGTAGAATACCAGCACTTGGTGTTCCTTTTCCCACAGGTACTGGAGACTGACTTCGTGGGCAAATATAGCAGGACACATTTTGTTTCCATATGTGTCTTTGAGCATTTGGACAAGCTTTTCATGATGGTATTTCTGCATCCCGTAGAAGTGATTGAAGTCCAAGAAGACCACTTCTTTTGGGTGGTCAGTGAGAAATGCATTGATCTCTTCCAGACCCTCCTTGACTTTGGCACTGAATAAACCATGAGCAAAGTAGAGTTCATTGTCTGGGTCTCTGGGCTTGGTGGAAATTCTAAGATCAAAATACCGTATACCTGCCCCCAGCTGGCTGGTGAAGTTCATGGTCTGTGTAGCCAACCACTTCCTCATCAGCTTTTTAGCCACAGTCCCAAAAACAGACACAAAATTCTGGACCGTCTCTGGCTGTTCAGGCCCAACTGGAGAGGCTTCATCGATGTAGAAGCTAAATGAGTCATGAGACCCTAAAAACACAACAGAGGAAAACAATTAATGTTGTACTCATATATTTGAAGTCATTAGTGATTCCTTCTTAATAAACTTCATCTTCTGACCTGTAGCAACACTCATCAACAGACCCCTCCCCTGCCCTTTTCTCAATACGTTTGTCTGGCAGCGTTTACCCCACCAGCACCTTGCAGGAACTTGAAGGAAAGGTAGTGCCTGTTTCACTGCCTCTCTGGGCGCTTCCTCACTTCACTCTCTTCTAGCTCTTACTTATGCCTTTAAGCTCAAAGAAGTCTGCAGGCTCTTAACATGAAAGCAATCCCGGTGTAACTCCAGCAAAGGTAGTCACACAATAAATCCCTAGAGCCAACAAGAAGGGGAGAGACTGGCTTTGCACACTGAATCGTGCACTGTCTGGTTTGCAGAACCAAAGGGAAAACCAAACCAAACCAAAAACATCCCACACACACCTTTATAGCCAGCTGAAATACGAGTTGAAAAATGCCAAGGACATGCAACATTTCTGACCTTTTCTTTATTTCAAGTCTCATCTGGTCACCGACAAGGTTACTGAATGCTGTTTTCCTTCTTAAATTTACCTCTAAAATTCTTAGCTTTCCTTTGCTACATAAATACAACAGATACAGCCAAGGATAGCATGGCATGCCACTGCCAAAATTCAGAAACTCCACTGCATGCCCTTGACAAGAATGAGACGTATTGCTTACCATCCCTACGTACAGAAGTTATCATTTTCCACAACATAACAAAGTTGAATACAAATACGTAGGACACTTTCCTACGCAAAATTCTCTCTGTCTCAAGGTACATCCACTAAAAAAAAACCCCAACTACACCACCACAGAACAAAAAAACAACAACTTATTTTGCTCAGCATTTAGACATTTACATGAAAGCAGCTGATAAAGCTACGGATATCTGCAAACACAGGATCATTCCTCTGTAAGGGAATTTGTCTTGCTTTATGGAGAGATGAGCTGACCCTGGGAGACGCTCATCGCCCTTGTCTACCACTAGCCCTCTGGCAGCTTATACAGAAATACTGTCTGGCTGCAGGCAGAGCCACGCTTCCACTGTGCCAGCCAGAGGGGATGCTTCTGGTCAGACTCACTGTGGCAAGCAGGTCTGCTCCTCAGCCTATGTCACACTGCTTGCAAAACTCCTTTAAGGTCAGCAGGACTTGTATTTCTGAAATGGACTGTAGCACTCGGCCCTCAGAGATCTAAACCCTAGCATCAAAATGAGTTCAGAGCACAAGTCATGCCTCCTACTGATGCTTTTGTAGGTGCTTTTCAAAATTACATTCCAAAGCTCACGTGCTGTGGCAGATAAGTATCGCATTAATGAAATCCTGCTACTCAGTCATTTCTGATGGCGATGCTGTTTTAACTGAACTGGAACAAACCCTATAAACTGAAATGACAGCTGTAACATTTTCATCTTTAACAATAAATGGAGTCACGACAAATCATCTTAGACTCTAGCTTGGATTTGGCTTTGTTTAATCTGAGAAATGTCTTAAAATTTTGTACACCCCTGCTTTTCACGGTTGTCTCTTTGAACTGCATTTTCCTTTAAGTATTAGATAAATTTTCCATTTTGATGAAGCTTTCTAATACTAAGGGTTGAAGCGATAGTATATTCCTTGCAGAACCTGATTAGATCATGGAGTATCTGGCTACACACTGATATCCCTGGGGACCAGATCTGCATGGAGAATTTTAATGGTAAAACAAATGATTAGAGCAGTGACTTGTGTTTCAACAGTATTACAGGGAAAATCAATGAGATACATTAAATGTTCTGCTCAATGTAACCTGCACTAATCTAGAAATCAAAGTAAATCCAGTCTTGTTTAAAACAAGGCACAGCTACTGGTATTAGCAAGGGATAGATCTTGCAAACCCTCACTCTGTCCATTGAAGTCCCTTTTATTTCAGTAGGATTTTATGTCAGAATAAGTACGTGTATAAACGCGATCAACTGATTGCAGCAGTAGGCTCAAAACTGTATTAAGGTTAATTAAACCATTCGTCCTTTATTGTCTGATCTGCAGCGACTGGCCACCTGAAGTTGCCGAAGAGGTAGCTAAACTTCACCACCACAGCCAATACGCAACACAGTGCCAATCACAACTTAAAACTATGTATGTTGAGAGAGGCAGCACAGTTCTCACAGCAGAAAACTAAAGTGAACAACTTTTCAGCAGGTAGCTTTTAGCTACTGGTAATGCAAAATATAGAGAGGAAAGTGCAGCTGATGGGAAACACCACGGTTAGAAACAACTGAACATCAAAAGCAGGACAGTTTAGAAAAACATTTTTTCTTAATTAAGGTCTTCAGGCACATATTTGAGTGTAAACATGGGGATTCCTACATGGAAGGTCCAGAGAAGAGCCGACAGTGCACTCAGAACCTCCATGTTTTATAACCCAAACAAGGAAGTCCTATTAAATACTGAAAAAAGAAAATAAGGCTTGACTTGACTTGGTTGATACTGAATGAAGCAGTTACTCTATTCAAGAGTATGTGAAGATCCCTCCTGACTGAAAAATGCAGCAAATGTTTTGTCTTTCCACATGTATAAGTAATTTGAACAGGTAATTTAAATATTTATTTTTATCATGCACTCAAATACATTTCCTTTTACCTTCATTCTGCTCTGTGATCCTAACCAGCTTACTCTTGAAACGTGGGGAAATTCAAAATCCTTACACTTGGCGAGCAAGTTAGAGTATGATCTTTTCCACTGTCATGCCCAAACTCATTGTGTTCCTGGCAATGAGAGAGTCCTGTACAAACATACACTTGTTTTTAGCAACAAGCTTTTCTTCCAACCTTGCTTTGGTGTATGGAGACATTCCCATCCTACTTTGCCACAAGGAAATGGACTTGCAGGTTCGCTGTATCACCAAATTTCAGCTCCCATGAAGACAGGATGCAGGGGACATTCAGAAATACCAATGCAATGATGCCTGCAATCCCTGGAAGGTAGCAGTGCTTGCACATCAGCTACTGTTACCACAGTAGGGCTGAGGGGGAACATGGACCTGATGTATGGGACACTCTACCACAGAGACTTCAGTCTGAGACATGGGGAAGCAAAGAGAGGGGAACTGACTCGTCCCAAGTCAGGCAGAGAGGAGTAAGCTGATATTCCTCTCATGTGCAAACGTATTTACTCACCAGTTTACTACGTGTCTAGCACTTTCTTAAAATATTGCATACTGTTTTCCCACTGTTTCAACAATACAGCATATCATTGATCCAAGGAGTCAAGGATGAAGGCTCATGGATCAGGACCACAGAGGTGGTGAACAAGGGGTAAACATGGTGCATATATGCTACAGACTGCCCAGTCAAGAAGAGAAAGTAGACAAAACCTTCTTTAAACAACTGGAAGAATCCTCATAATTACAGGGCTTGTTTTCATGGGGATCTTTTGAGACATTTGCTGGAAGTGCAAAACAGCAGGGCACAGGGAACATGGAGAGCATCAAAGACTTTTTTCTGCAGGCACTCCTTTTGGTAGACAAAGCACACTGCTGAACACGGTATGAATTAAGGAAGACATGGCTAGGGACAGGAAGGCTGATGGCAGCCTTAGCTACAGTGGCTGTGAGGTGATGTAAGAATTTAAAATACTGAGAAAAGTGAGGAAAGCAAACAGCAGAATAAAGTTCCTGGCTTACAGCTAACTGGGAAGATGCCAACCAAGTACGCTATAAGGTATGTGAAAAACTGCCTGGACCATCAGGCTCAAAAAGATGTGGCTGAAGGTTCAAAGTCTCTTCACAGCTGATTATAAGCCGATTCTGTTTAACATCTTCATCAGTGACACAAACAATGCGATGGGGAGCACCCTCAGCAAGTTTGCAGGTGAAACCAACTTGGGGGAAGAGGTTAACGTTCTGGAGAGAAAAGCTGGTACTCAGAGAAACTTCAGTGCAGCAGAGAAGCTGGATGACAGGAACCTAAAAATGTTCAAAGGCAAGATGGACCCAGGACAGACAACTCCATTCAGTAGCATAGCTGGGGACCAACCAGCTAGAAAGCAGCCTGCAGAAAAAGACTTGTTCACTTGGACACAAGGAAAAAACAACTTCCCCACAGACCAGCTAAGCCCTGAAGTGGGAGCCCAGCAGGGCTGGACTCTGTACCCCTGATTCTCAGTGCTCGGCTCAACAGCCTCATCTAACTTGGAGTTAGCTCTGATTTGAGCCAGGGATGGACCAGATAATTCTGTGCAAAAAAAAAAAGATTTGTTTCTTGTCTCTCAACCTTAGAAGCCATTATCAAGAGACACTTAAAATGTCTGCACCAGCCATGGTCCAAAACCAAAAGTGGCCAGTTTCAACCACCAAACCATTACATGAACTTAGATGTGGCCAAACACTATTTAGATATTCAAGACTAAAATGTGCAGTGTCACTTAGACTGCAAGAAAACAGCTGCTCTTACTTTTACTAGGGAGAACAGTCTCCAGTTTTCTTTACTGAATTCCTGTAATAGGACAATTGGGAATATATAATCCACTCCAGCGCAGCTATGGACATATTTATGGCTTCCCTAGAGGGCTAAAACCCCCATTTAAAAAATAATTGGGCTCAGTGCTGAAAAAAGTCCCTCAGAGAGAGCGTGTTTCAGTTCAGAATCATTTCTTCAGTCCCACAAAGGCACAGCAAAGCCACTATTTTTGGTGGCTAAGCTTTAACACATCATTCATAAAGTGTATCTGAACTTCTTTCTCCCTCCCCTTGCCTCACTGTCGGCTCTGGCCATCCCTCGTAACAGCCTGCTAAACAGCACCTAAAATAGAGGTGCTGCATCGAATGGCACTGCCCAACATGCTCCTGACAGCAGCAATCACACCCTCAAGATCCACAAGTCACAGAAAAATCCCATACAGATAGAAGTAAAGTTTCACAGTCTTTGGCGGTTTTTACTCTCCTCCCCTTCTCCCACAGATTTCAACCTCCTCTTGCCGCTGCGCTGGTAGTTACCCAAAATTTGTTGGAAGTGGAGTCTTTTACTACTGCTTTGAGTGTCATTAAAAACTTTACCTGCTGTTGTCTTCCTGTATTTAGATGACATCCTCTGGTGGCTATTGCTGAAATGTCACATGCCTAACTTTTTTGAAAACATCCTTGTCAATGAGGGCTCTACAGTGACTGACAGCAGATCACAACACGTTTCTTGGATGCTGTAGAGAACAGCTAGGACTTATTCCCCCATCTCAATCTCCATCAGTCACATGGGATTTCTGCAACTCCCTAACTTCAAACAGTTCCCGCACTGACCATAAATTAGCTAAGCTTTTCAGGCAAGGCTGCCTAAAGCACCAGCAGGACTGCGCCTACCTTTTGGCTTTCTAAAGGCTCAGGAAATCAGAGCAGTGGGTGCTCTTCCCAGAGTCCTGGCCAGCCAAACAGCCACACGTTCTTGTAACTTGGTTTCAGCATGGAAATTGGGATTTTCATTAAAAATAAAAAGGCAAACTTTTCCTTACATCACAGGAATATTTCTTAATATCTAAGAATATCTGGGGTTTATTCAAGTGAATTTTCTGATCAGAAAGTAAGCAAAAATATTTTATATGCCTGCATGTATATGGTGAGCTAGCCCATACATAAATCAAACTGAATCACCAGTGCTCAAGTGGTGAAAACAGAGGAGCTATGTACCTTTTTGTATAAAAAAAAATCCTGAAGTTTCTGTTAAAAAAGACATAAACCAAAATGAAGACATTTTTTAAAAAAGCCCATTAAACAAACTTGAAATGTCTGTGAGGTAACATGAACACAAATCATTCCACTTTTTAAATCAAATCTTTTTCCAGGTCATACAGCACAAGTTACTTATATCCAGACAGTTAAGTCTTGCAAAGTCAACAGTTTTAACCTGTTAAGTAAGCATTTTAATGCTTTCAAGCTGTAACAACAGGATGAATTAACCTTGGTTTTCAATGAGAGATTACCGATAAAGTACAAATCCAGAG